AAGGCCAGGCAGGACAGGAAGGAGGGCCTGGGGCCTGGAAACAGCAGGGAAGGTCTACCGGGGACCCTAGGAAGTGAGAGAGACTGTTGAGAGCTGCTTCCCACTGAGGCCACCAAGGCTCAGGACGACACAGACCCCTGGCCACCTGCCCCTCAGGATGACAGCAACACCTGGCCGCCTCCACCTCTGAGGTCCTTGGCCCCAGACCTCTGGGCACAGATGAGTGGCTGCCTGCCCCCCTGAGGTCCTGGACCCTGCGCCTCCAGGCACACTCCAGTCCACAGCCAGGGTAGGATACGGAGTACAGAACTGGCCGCAGACCCCAAGGGCCTCCTCCCTTGGGGTGCCTGCAAGGTGGGAGTCACAGACCCTCCCCTGGCTCACAGGAGGCTGAAGAGCCGTGTGGAGAAGCCACCGGCTGGCTGGCTGGCCAGCATGGGTACTGAGCAAATGCCGGCCAGGCCCCCTCCCGCCAAGGGGAGGCAGCAGGGCTGACACCCGCACAGGCCCGACCCCCCTCCCCACAGCTATTTTCCATCCATTATCACCTCTGTCACAAGCCGCCTGAGACACTGTCCTCGTGTTACAGTGTCCCAGCAGCGCCAGGGCCCCGAGGCCACTGCCCCCACAGGAGAGCAGGCTGACTGTGCAGAGCCACTCACCGGTCCCCACGTCCCCTTGGGGAACCGAGGCTCGAGAAAGCCTCACTTGGCTGATGCCACAGGGCCCAGGACTCAAGCCCAAGCTTGGGACACCTCTTCTCGGGGGGGAGGACCCCGACAGGGAAGCCTGAGGCCCAGTTGGTCAGAACCTGCCTGCCTTAGTGGGGTGGGACCCGAGCAGCCCAGCCGTCGAGATCCTGGGGGGTTCCATCCATCCCACAGGAGGCTCTCACTGTCCACACAGGCCAGACCATCCATGGTCCATGGCAGCAAAGCCACCCGTTTCCTGAACAGGAACAGAGCAATTGGTCCGGGTCACGTCTGAGCACAGGACACACGCTGACCAGCTCAGCCCTCCTGATATTCACCCCACTTTACAGCTGATAGACTGAGGCACCGAGAGGTTGAGAGACTTGCCCAAGGTCACACAGCTGTACGTGGGCAGGCTGCCAAGCAGGCCACCCAGGCTGAGCAACGCAGAGGAGACCCCCAAGGCCACCCATGACCGTGCCGGTCTCTCTCCTCCCACCAGGTGGCAGCGAGGCCCTCCGCTGCACCACTGTGCTCCTCCTGGAGCGCCTGCCCCACCCAGGGTGCAAACTGAGCCACGGAAGGCCCCTGCGGTGGACTGGGCAGTTAGGGGTGTCTGCCTTTGTCGGTCTCAATGGGCCCTGTCAGTACCAGTTGCTGGGAAGCTGAGCTTCATGCATAGCACCCCCGACTTGTGTCAGAATAGAACTGCACCCCACTTCTGGTGGCCGAGTTTGTGGGAGCATGTGGCCAGGCCTTTCTCCCGGGGCATCTCTGGGTGGGCTTGATCCACCAATCTTTGATGCAGCATCCTGTGAGGGCAGCATCCGGGGTCTCCTCCCTGCAGGTCCCATTCTCATGTGGCCCCAGCACGAAGACCCTGTGGGTGGCCTTGCAGGGACTGCTCACACGGCCCTTGCCTCACAGCCTCCTCTTCCCACCCCCATGCTAAATCGGCCTCCCCCACACCCTGGCTGGCAGCTTCTCTGGGCCCTATCTCCAGTCAAGAGCCTGAGCTGTGATAGGAGAAAACTGCTCACTTTAGAAATCATTGAACCATCCTGAGCACCTACAGACATGGTTAATGTTCGCTGCCTGTCTGAGCTATTTATTCCTGCGGAGGGAGCCAGTGGCCACAGCCACCCCGTCATCTCCCAGTGGAAAGCTGCAGGTGACACGGAGCAGCTCTGGGGCACCTCCACCCCTCTGGAGAGGCCTGAAGGAGTTGCCATTGGTCCCCTCCTCACGGCTCTGAGAGCCCACGCAAGCCCCTCACCGTGCCCACCTGATGCTCAGGTCCCAGTCCCTGTGTGCTGCTCTACCAGAAGCCCCACAAGGGACAGCTTCCAAGAGCAGAAACTCGGTCCACAGCTCTGGAGGCCGGAGTCCAGTGGGGCTCGCCGTGCTGTGGAGATCCCTCCTGAGAACCCGTCTGCGGGTTTCAGATGTCCCCCGGTGACCCCCAGCATTCTCGGGTGACCCCTCACAATCCCTGGAGACCCCTGGCTTCTGTCTCCCCCGGTGTATGTCCATCTGATCAGCCCTGTTCATAACTCAGAAGGAATTGGGTTGAGACTCCCCCTACCGTGGGATAGGACCTCAGTCATGCAGAAAGAGCCGTCTCTGAGCAGGACGGTCCACAGCTGTAGGGGTCAGGACTACATGCGGACATCGGGACACAATTCAGCCCCTGACATCTGAGATTCAGGCAGACACCAAGGGAAGCCCCCGTTCCCATCAACTCCCACACAGAAGGCGGGAACGCCCACCTAAGATCCCCAAACAGGGACCTCTGAAAGACGCTGGGGTGAGGGTGAAGGGGGCAAGATAGAACACAGGGCAGAAGGCTCCCGGTGCCACCCCACCCCCAGTCAGCCCTCACGTTGGGGGAGCAGACCAGTGACAGCCCTCACCATAACCAGCAAGTCTCTCAGCCACACGCAAAAGAGGGGTGCTCGCCACCCCTCAGGCCTTCGAAGGACAGCGCTCAAAGCCCGGCTCCATCTGATGGGATCATGGAGTCTGCCCTGAGCGGGGCTGGGGTAGGTCTCCAAAGGACAGCCCTAGAGGCTGTGCAATTCCCAGAAGAAGTGGTGACTGGGAAGCCAAAGATGGGGGTGTGAAGCCTCCCGCGACCCGAGACCCGAGACGAGAGCCAAGAGGTATTGCAGCTTCACCCCCTAGTAAGTCAGTATTTTAAAACCAGGGATAGAAGGAAGGAGAGAGGAAGAGAGACAGGGGAAGGAGGGAGAGACAGACAGGGGCAGAGAGAGAGAAGGCTGTGTGGACCACTGGCTGGGAGAGACCGGTGGGTGCTGAGGGGTGGGGAGGCCCTCCCAGCACCTCGCAAGCCCTGAGGACACACCACCCCCGGCCACACCGCTCTGCGCTGGGAGCCTGGCTCGCCAAGAGGGAGCAAAAGCAGAGCGTTCATTGCAACCTGATCCATGAGCGCAACAAATGGCCAAAACAACGATGAAACGCGAAGCCCCTGAGTACCCGATGGTATAGGGCTCTGTGTAAACCACGGGACACCAGCCGACGGAATGTTACGTGGTCAGCACAGAAGATAACGACAGACCCGTGGCAGCAGAGGAAACGGCTCACGGTGGGATGCGGTCAGGCAGCCTGGGTGCAGGGTGAACCTATGCCAGGATCCCCGTGAAGGAGAAGCGTCCCTGGGATTGTCCTCGGCTTTGGTTCTCATTCCGGAGTGCTGGCTGTGTGATAGATGACATTCCCGCTTATCTTAGGGCCGTGCTCAAGTAAATGAGGGCCACAGCACTCGCCTTGAGCCCCAACTCCCGGCGAGAGACATGCCGTCAGACCAGCAAGGATGAGGAGGCCGTCATGGACTCGTCAAGGCCCAGAGCTCAGCAGGTAAGGTTGCCAGACTGGGCCGCCATAACAGAAATCCACCATGGTGGTCTGCAGAACAAAAATATCGCCCCCCAGTTCTGGAGGCTAAGAGTCCAAGCCAGGGTCTTAGCTTGTAGACGTCTGGCTGTGTGGACGCCTGGCTGTGTGGCTTCCTGGCTGTGTGAACCAGTGCTTGTGTGGACCCGTGGCTGTGCAGACATCTGGCTGTGCAGACATCTGGCTGTGTGGACCCCTGGCTGTGTGGACGTCTAGCTGTGTGGACTCCTGGCTGTGTGGACCTCTGACTGTATGAACCCCGGCTATGTGACTTCCTGGCTATGTGGCTTCCTGGCTGTGTGGACCTTGGCTGCGTGGACTCCTGTGACCTCTCTCCCAGTGTCTGTGTCTGCCAGCGATCCTTGGCATTGTTTGTAGCAGGTCCCATCATGGCATCTGCCCTCCTGCGTGTGTGTGTGTGTGTGTGTGTGTGTGTCTGGGTCTGGTCTGCTCTTGTAGTAGACACACTCAGAAGGGTTCAGTTGGGGATCCACTCCACTCTGCATGACCCCATTAACAAAATGAAGCCCCTATTTCCAAACACATAGAGGTTAGGAGGCCCATGTTTTTGGAAGTCAGTCCATTTCAGATACGCCCCAGAATCCATGCCTTCCTGCCGTATCACCATGCCCAAAGGTCCAGCCCATCCCGGTGTCCACTCAAGATCCTGTCTTCTGAATCCTCTAAACCAGGTCCAGGTGACTCTGGGTGTTCCATCCTGGGGGGGACCCCTGTCCATCTGGGGACCTGTGACACTGAGCTTCAGGTGATGTGCTGCCAAAGTACAATGTGGGCTGCACATGAGGCAGACACCCCCATTCCCAAAGGGGAAACTGGAGAAAAGAAGGGGTTCCACCTTCAGAGATTCAACTTCTGCAGCTGGGTACCCAGGCCTTGATCCCGACCCTGGAGCTACATTTCCAGTGTGGGTGGGGGGGTGGGGAAGTGAGAAGAGGGGGCTCAGTACCCCTTGTTGAAAAGAGCTTTGACCTAGTCTTCTGTGTGGCGCTGGGACTCTGGGAGGGAAATTCCCAAGGGTAGAGGGGGCGGCGGTGGCGCACTTAGGGAGTAGCCCCTCAAAGGTGCAAGGGGGGATGAGTGTCTTGGCCTGGACAGCCTGCCAGGGGTGGAGTACAGCGTGTGGCCAGGGAAGGATGGGCCAGAGGAGGCAGCAGGAGAGCTGTGGGAGGGCCCAGCCACAGCAGAGGAAGTGGGGGCCACGAGGACCCTGGAGCAGAGCAAGTGGGGGCCCACAAAGACCCTAGAGCAGGGCAGCACAGGCCAACAGTTTTCTGGGAAGCCCAATGTGGCAGCTGGAGTGTCCCTGGTGCGTTCGAGAAAAGGCTGCAGGCACGAGGTGAGGGGACAGAAGACCGGGACGGGTTGTGCACAGAAGCCAGCAGGACCCTGCCTCATCTTCTCCAAGGGGCCACTGGGGATTCCAGGTGGGCAGGTGCAGGCTTGTCAGAGTCCCTGGGGCCTGGCCCAGCGCTTGAGCTCACTGCCAGGCTGAGCAGGCTGCAGGCAAAGTGTCCCAGCCGAGAGCAGGGCCAGGCCAGACCCAGGAGCTAGGCGGCCTCACCCAGCAGCCATCAGCAGGCTCCAGCAGCGGGGCTGCCTCAGGAACGATCTCAAGCATCGTGGCTCACACTCAGAAGAGCCCTCCCAGTTCACCTACGGGAACACAGAGGTTCAAGAAGTCTGGCCACTCCTGGCCCAGTCCTCCAAGTGTAGGCTGGTTAGCCAGACCACACAGCCCAGGTTCCAGGCAGGGCTACTGGGCAGGCCTGCACAATCAGACACACCAGGTCCCCATGGCCACTTCCCTGGTCATGGCCCCTCTGTGCTGAACCATCTGACTCAGCCCCTCCAAGAGTTCTGGAAAATTCTGCAGATGCCACCCTGGGAAGAAGGCCTGATGGGCAGAGAGGCCTCCTCCGTTAGCGCCACTGGTGATGATGCAGGTGCTGGTGCTGGTGATGGTGATGATGATGATGATGGTGATGATGATGATGGTGGTGATGATGATGATGGTGATGATGATGATGGTGATGATGATGACGATGGTGATGACGATGGTGATGACGGTGGTGATGGTGATGGTGATGGTGATGATGATGATAGTGATGATGATGATAGTGATGATGATGGTGATGGTGATGATGATGATGGTGATGATGATGGTGATGGTGATGATGATGGTGATGGTGATGATGATGATGGTGATGATGATGATGATGGTGATGATGATG